TCGTCCCGTGCCTCGCGCGTTGCCTCCAGCGCCCCAGCGTCCCGTTCCTCTACCGCGCGCCCCCGTGCACCTGCTGCACCGCGCGTCCCAGCCGTCCCCGCGGCCTGATCGCACCCGCGCTCACCCGACGCCGCTTTCGTTACCCTACCGCGTGCATCACGCACCGATGCGCGCCCCACGCCCGATAGCCGATCCTCCTCGACCCCTTTGCCGTCCGACTCCGTTGGCTCGCCCGATGGCCATGGGTCCCATCCATCTAACCCAATACAATCACCAGCTCGCCAAATCCAACCATCCTTCATTCTACTCTTACCTCCCTTTCGAGTCACCATCTTGCGAACTCGTCTTTTCCTCGCACACGGTTTGCACCAACACTTCTCCTCTTTTGCTTTTGCCTTGTGTATCCTTCGAGCTCGTTTGGTCTTGCTTCTCCTACGCTTGAGCTTAGCTTGTGGACCACATCCTCTTGGCCAATCTCGTACACATGATGGCCGATAAATCGGGCTTGAAGGCTCTTCCAACACGTTCTCCAACCATAAAACAAGACCATCGTCACCTTCATCGTCTGACTCACCGGGGTTGATGACCACTTCCGTATCATTCCCTTCCTCTTCGAGACTTTCCTTGTCCTCAAGGATTAAGAAATTAAGCGCACCATCATCTTCAACGTTCTCAACCACCAACGCTTCTCGGGCTTCCATGAGTTGACGCTCACACTCCTCAATATTCCTCCTCTCATGAAGCTCGTCAAGATATGTTTTTTCCCATGGTGTGAGCTCTCTGTCCAACCCTTCCAACATCTCAAGATCTTCCCAATCCAACTCATCCATTGGTGGGTAAGACATAATTTTTTTTTTTTTTACTCTAAAAAAAACGAAAAATAATAGGGAAAAATTCGAAAAATTCGAACCCCCAACAAGACTCAAAAAATCGAAACAAAAAGAAATTCGGCCCCTACACAAAAGGTAATAACCGGAAAAATCAAACAAAGGACTAACAAGATGACACATTTTTTTTTTAATGAAAAATTCGAAATAAATTCGAAAATTTCGACCCCAAAAAAAAGAGAAATTCGGTCCCTCAGCAAAAGGCAAACCGAAAAAAATAAAAAGATAGATAGATAATCACACGATCAGCCCCTCTCAATGAAACCCTCTCCATGAAAGCACCAATGATGACGGATCGTGTTCTTACCTATACGATGGTTGTGAATAAACGCGCTCTGGGCCTTCGTTTATTCACGATAGACGTGTCTAACAGACGCACTGCGGCCTTCTCGTAGACACCGTGACTTCAAGACGCACTAATGGCCTTCTCTCCGACACTGTATGTAAACACGCACTAACGACCTTGTTTATCACACGTTAAGAACAACAGTTCCCCCTCAAGATTGGCTCACCAATTCAATACTTCATTCAACTTGTAAGATATGATGAGGTACATGGGTATTTATAGATACCAAATATCTCTAGATCTATTCTTACTAGGAAACTAATAAAACAATTAAATATTAAATCCTAAGTCTAGAAAGCAATAAAATCCTAGACCTACCAAATAACTATTGCTTGGCTTGCACACCAAGCAAATCTAGAATGCTCCAAACTCCTCCAAACTTCGGCCGCCTTAATTTTCCTTCGGCCCGTCCCACGCGCACACCTTCAGCGCTATTCCTTGTCGCGAGCGGCTTCGCGCGCGCGCGCCCCGCACGTGTCGCCCGTCACACCTAGTCCCTCTCGGATTGGGCCTTGCGCGCCCGTAGCCCACGCGTCGCCTTCCTCGCGCCCTTGCTGGATGCTGACTCCCTCGCGCGCGTGCTCATCCGTGGTCAGTACTCCTACGCCCGTTAGGATTGGGTCGCCCGCGCTTTCCCCGTACTTGCGCGCCATCGTGCGCCTACCTTCGCTGTCGCTCAGCTGCCGCGCGTCCTCGCCACCTGCGCGAGTGCCGCGCACGCCTGCCATGCCCGTGCCGCTCGCGTTGTCGTCCCGTGCCTCGCGCGTTGCCTCCAGCGCCCCAGCGTCCCGTTCCTCTACCGCGCGCCCCCGTGCACCTGCTGCACCGCGCGTCCCAGCCGTCCCCGCGGCCTGATCGCACCCGCGCTCACCCGATGCCGCTTTCGTTACCCTACCGCGCGCATCACGCCCCGATGCGCGCCCCACGCCCGATAGCCGATCCTCCTCGACCCCTTTGCGGTCCGACTCCGTTGGCTCGCCCGATGGCCATGGGTCCCATCCATCTAACCCAATACAATCACCAGCTCGCCAAATCCAACCATCCTTCATTCTACTCTTACCTCCCTTTCGAGCCACCATCTTGTGAACTCGCCTTTTCCTCGCACACGGTTTGCACCAACACTTCTCCTCTTTTGCTTTTGCCTTGTGTATCCTTCGAGCTCGTTTGGTCTTGCTTCTCCTAGGCTTGAGCTTAGCTTGTGGACCACATCCTCTTGGCCAATCTCGTACACATGATGGCCGATAAATCGGGCTTGAAGGCTCTTCCAACACGTTCTCCAACCATAAAACAAGACCATCGTCACCTTCATCGTCTGACTCACCGGGGTTGATGACCACTTCCGTATCAGAGCGGGAGGCGTAGGCGTGCGCCGCATGACAGGCGACGATGCACGCGCTACTGGCGGTGCCCTAGTCCTCAAGGACTAGGGCGTGGGCAAAGGCGGCGCGCGGGTAAAGCGGTCGCATGAGAGGCCGAAGAGAGAGAGAGAAGATTGCTTGGAGTGCACACCAAGAGATTTAGTTTCCAACTAGCATTATGATTTCTAGCTTGTTCAGGATTCCTAATATTTTATTGCTTTATTATTTTTCTAGGTAGATTAGACTTAGACAAATCTTGTGCCTATATTAAGGCCCTTAACCCATGTTATTTTTCATCATCCAAGAAGTCAATAGAAATCTAGAACTTTGTTCTTCCAACTTTGCTTTAGTCTTTTCACCAGAATACTATTACAATTTTATCGTTTCAATAGGCGCGGTTGTGGCTAGAGAAACACTATCGGCGATTCCAGGCACAGGTTAGCGGCTTATCGGCAGTCGAAACACACGATCTTTATCATTGGTGCTTTCATTGAGAGGTGTTGATCATGTGTTTTTCTTCTACCCCATTCCCTTTCTTTTTCTTTTTGTTTTTTCGTCCCCCTCATCAAAAAAATAATAATAATAATAATAATAATATATATATTTTCGTTCGTCATCATCATCATCATCATCTTCAACCACGAGTCCACAAAGCAAAGAGCGGAGAGAAGAAAGAAAAGCCATGGCCAATAAGGAGATGAAGGATAAGATCAATAATCTTGACATCCAGATGAGGAGTATGAGCGAGGTTATGGAAGGAAGGCTGGGATCGCTTGACGAAAGTCAAAACAACACCAACGCCATTGTCACACGACTCGAACAGCAGTTAGAAGAAGTCTTGCGTGCGCTCCAGCAGCAACCACCTCACCGCGACAATCCCCCAAGGCGCGAACTGCGCCGGCACGCCGAGCATGCCGATCGCACACCATCTCCACGACGCGAGGATTGACGCGAGCAACGGCGCGCGCGCGAACAGGACGAGGACCGGCGACGCGAGGGTTACGAACACGAGGAGGAGTTCGATCAGCGGTCGCAGGCGTCCACCTACCGTGAGCGGCCTAAGCCCGACAAGCCGAGGTTCGTGATGTCCATCTTCACAGGTAGTGATCCCGAGGCTTGGCTCAACCGAATTGCGCAATATTTCGAACTGAATGAAACCGAAGGCCACGATCGAGTGAGGTACGCAGCCTTCTATTTGGATGGAGAGGCCAACGTATGGTGGCAGTGGCTCTCAAGGATCTACCGTAGGCGGCAACAGGTCATTACATGGGCTGAATTTGAGAGGGAATTGCTCACGCGATTTGGCACGTCCGATTATCATAATTATAATGAGGCCCTCGCACGAATCCGACAGACAGACAATTTGCGTGAATACATCAAGGAGTTTGAACGACTAGCCTGTCGCGTGCGGGATTGGTCTGAGGATGTGCTAGTAGGAGCCTTCGTAGGTGGGTTGAGATTCGATCTAGCCGCAGAAGTCCGACTGGAGCGACCGGGCACGATGCATAACACCATGGAGGTGGCCCGTCGATGAGAAGACCATCTGGTCGCTACGCGAAGGGGACGGGTGGATGTGCGTTTCGCGGACATGCGATGCACGGGACCGAACCAGGCCACGGTCAGCGCACGGCCAAACGTCAGCAATCGGCCAGCAGGGTCGATAGTGAGGCGACTGTCCCCCGAGGAAGTTAAACGTCGACGTGAGAAAGGCTTATGTTTCAAGTGTGAGGAGAAATTTACACCAGGTCGTCAGTGTAAGCAAGCTTTTGTGATCGAAGTTGCTAATCCTGATGAGGAAGGATCTGAAGACGAGGAGGAACCACATCAGGATATTGAAGTTGAGGGGCCCGACGAAGAAGCAGAAATCTCGATGCACGCAATGGCCGGGATTAGAGGGCCTCGAACGATGCGATTGCCGGCCTGGGTCAAGGATCGGAAGGTGGTGGTGCTAGTGGACAACGGGTCATCACACAACTTCATCAATGCCGACTTGTCCCAGAAGCTGAACTTACCAACCACGAATATTGAGCCTTTTGAGGTACGAGTAGCCAATGGTGAGAGGCTGCAATGCACTAAATCCTTCCGGAAGGTGCCAATCAGGTTCAGTGGAGTTACGGTGAAGGCTGATCTCTATGCCTTACCTTTGGTTGGGCCGGATGTCATCCTGGGAGTACAGTGGCTCGAAGGGTTAGGCAAGGTGACCACCGATTATCGAACAGGAATTATGGAGTTCAACTCCGGAGGTCAGCAAGTCACTCTGAGTACTGGCAATGAAAAAGGTACCAAGGAAGTAGGACTTAAGAGCATTGAGAAAGTTTGGCGGGGTGGGGGCCAAATATTTGCAGTAGTAGTAGAGAAAACTGGGGCGCACATAGACCAAGAGGAGCAACAACAGGGAGATGTGCGCGAGCTTCTCAAGGAATTTGAGGGAGTACTGGGCGAGCCTAAGGGACTACCCCCACACCGGGAGTTCGATCATCGCATACCACTGATCAATGAGCAGCATGCCATACACGTTCATCCTTATAGGTACGCACACTTTCAGAAAACCGAGATCGAACGGCAAGTGGCCGAGATGCTTGAATCCGGACTAATCCAGCATAGCAAGAGTCTGTTTTCTTCTCCAGTCTTGCTAGCCAAGAAGAAAGACGGCACGTGGAGGTTTTGTACTGACTATCGAGCTCTGAACGCTGCAACTATCAAGGACCGATTTCCTATCCCTAGCGTTGACGACATGCTCAATGAGTTAGCCGGGTCACGCTATTTCTCAAAACTCGACCTGAGAGCAGGTTACCATCAGATTCGACTCAACAAGGCCGACATTCCAAAGACAGCGTTTCGTACGCACCAGGGGCACTATGAGTATCTGGTTATGCCATTCGGATTGTGCAACGCTCCATCCACTTTCTAGTTCGCAATGAATTCTATCTTCAAGGAGTATCTGCGCAAGTTCATTCTGGTATTCTTTGATGATATCCTGATCTATTCGAAGTCGTGGGGCGAACATCTTGGGCGTTTGAGAGTAGTGCTCGAAATTTTAAAGGCCAACTCATTTCACATTAAGCCATCCAAATGTTCATTCGGGCAGAAGATGGTTGAGTATCTTGGGCACTTCATATCCCACGAGGGCGTGAAGGTTGATCCACGAAAGATTGAGGCTATGATCGATTGGCCAAAAACGACAAGTCTCACACAACTGAGGGGATTTCTAGGACTCACAGGTTACTACAAAAAGTTCTCGAAGGATTATGGGACCATCGCCAAACCACTGACAGAGATGACTAAGAAAGGCGGGTTCACATGGACCAAAGCTCGCGAGAAGGCATTTGGGAAGTTGAAAGAAGCCATGACTACAACGCCAGTGCTCGCCATGCCAAGGTTCGATGTCTTGTTCGAGGTACACACCGATGCGAGTGACATTGGGATTGGAGCTGTGTTAGTAAAAGAGGGACGACCCTTAGCTTATCTCAGCAAGGCACTAGGCACTACACGATTGGGTCTATCGGTGTACGTGAAGGAGATGCTAGCAGTTGTCGAGGCTGTAAGTTGCTGGAGGCCATATCTATTAGGCCGACATTTTCAGATTGTAACCGACCAGCAACCGCTCAAGCATCTACTGGAGCAAAGAATTGTTACCCCCGAGCAGCAGAAGTTCGTATCTAAACTTATGGGGTTTGACTTCGATATAATCTATCGACCGGGTCGATAGAATGCAGTAGCTGATGCATTATCCCGACGAACAGATGTAGCCAAGCTGAATGCTATCACTGGGCCAGCTTGGACTATTTGGGAAGAAATCAGGAAGGCGCAAGTAGAGGACACCTATTGCCAGGAGCTGCGCCAATCGATAGAAGCAGGTAAGACAACTGCTATCGACTATGAGCTGCATAATGGTCTGCTTCTACACCGGGGCCGAGTATTCGTTCCCGACAGTGGGCAATTACGTGAGCAGGTCATGCAGCACTTCCACGACTCTAAAGTTGGGGGCCACTCGGGTATCTATCGCACGTGGATGAGAATAGCCAACACTTTCTTCTGGCCCGGACAACAGAATACCGTCCGAGATTACATAGCACGGTGCGACAATTGTCAGCGCACTAAGTCTGACTCACGACGACCGAGTGGGTTGTTGCAACCTCTACCGGTACCCAAGGCAATCTGGGAAGACATTACTATGGATTTCATAGAGGGGTTACCGAATTCTAATGGATTTGACGGTGTTATGGTCGTAGTGGATCGTCTCACAAAGTATGCTCACTTCATACCCATTACCCATCCTTACACCGCGAAGTCGATTGCCAGGTTATTTATGGAGTACGTGATGAAACTGCATGGAGCACCTTGATCCAT